CGTTTACACAAAAAGATCGGATTTTTTCAAAAAATCGGAACTGAGCATTAAGACCTGCAGTGTGAACGTAGCCCTTGAGACTCCACTGTGTGACGTAGTGACATATTTCCTGACGGGACAGTTTACTGAATGATGTCCACTAACCTGAAACCGACAGAGCGGAGCTCTTTAGCTGAAATGAGTGCTGCAGTCGTGTCCTGATCCGCAGCAATGCGTGACAGCATAGTCCTGAAAGCGAGCTGTGAGCCTCTACTCTGAATTATCTGGTGAATTAATTATGAATTAATTATCTGATGAACGTGACATGCTCTTGCTCTCTGTAAATAAAGCAAAGCCACTTCCTCGTCCGACATTAAACAGAGCCCGACAGAGGAGGGAGGGGCGGGGAGGCTCTGCCGTGCAGCGCTTCAAGAGCTGTCCTGCGTCTGACCTCAAAGTGTACAAGCTTCAAACTTGAAGCGTTGGCTGTGATTTTGAAGCTGAAATCGCGTTCGGTGTGAACGCACCATAACAAGACAAATAATCTTACACAATCTGAAAGCAAGATGATTATTCTTACACAATCAGTTCTTGTTTAGTAAATCAGTCTCAAAACAAGATCAAAAAGACTTTTTGGCTGATATAAGGTTTTAAAACTTGGTAAGATGCCATCAAAAAGCAGAATATTTGATACTTCTTCCCCATGAGGCGTACACATGAACAGAACTGGTGACTGTGTGACTGACTCACCAGATTTGGGCCAGGATGGGCGGGGGCAGCCCTGATTGAAGGAAAAAGTTTCTGGCCTGGTCACCTGACAGAAAAACAGCAGTGCGATGAGTGATGACAGCAAACATCTGGAAAAAAAAGCTTTAACACTGACACAAACTTTTTAAAGTCTGAAGAAAAATACGACTAAAAATATAACTGATTAATCAGATTTTACTGAGCATATCCAGTACTTTATTATTAGACTGAACAACTGTTCTGACTAGGGCTGGGTGGTATGACCTCAAATTCAGTTATCTCTACACTCGCAGCCATGCTGACATAGGTGTGATGATGTAATGACGATAGGACGGTAGAGGGTAAATTTCTACCGTAGGCCAACTTCATACCGTTTCTACCGTCTACTCCATATACCACACAGCCCTAGTTCTGACAAACCTAAACTAAAGCTAAGATGTGTTCAAACAGCATAAATAAAACTGTGGCTTCGTTTTCAGGCAGGAGTCCTTGTAACTTTGACTAAAAACATCATGAACATGAGTTTGCTGATCTGTCCAAACATTGTGCAATATGTGCAGGAAGTCTGCAGTGGAATGAATGATGAGCTGCTCTTACTAGACTCAGCATTTAACACAGTCATCCCCACAACACTGACTGGAAAGTTCCTCATCCTTGTTCTGACCCTCCCCCACACTAGCATATCAACTTTTTTGTGAATTAGTGGTTTTTTTCAAATCACGCCGTTTTCCATTCACCTTTTCTGATGTGATACTTCAAAATGTGCATTAAAAAACCTTGATGAACACACGGCCAATGTCTCGCAACTATTACTGAAGCGGAGAGGGTGAAGGACTTCAAAGACCATGGGTCCCTCATCAGTGAGGATCTCACTTGGACTCACAAACACAGCAGACTAAGAAGGCTCCACAGAGACTCTTCTTCATGAGGAAGAAATGTGGATTATCACCCAAAATCCTCAACAACGTCTACAGATTGGAGCATCCTGGCAATCCCATCTCAGTGTGGTACAGAACCCCTTAGGACAGAGACTCTTAACCTGTGGGCTGTGAGCGCCACCTTGAGGGCCTCAAAAGAACAACAGTTTTTAACTTTGGGCCTCAGAGGACCGCAGGACTTCATTAATTTTGAATAAGGTGCAATACACTTTCTCACCACTAGTAGCAGTAGTGCACCACTCAGATGTTTAACTTTTTAATATGTAGAAGAAGAACCTTAGAAACCTGCTGAGAATGGAAACCTATTTTAAATTAAAAGTAGAAACAAAAATGAAAGTAACTCATCAAAAAACTCCAAAGTTTGTCACTAATATGAAGTACAGCTTCTGGTTTTACCATGTAATATTTAAAACGTTCAAAACCTTAAATACAGTTGCAGAT